AGGGAAACATAGTATTGATTGTGGTGCAGGCAATTAAACGGTGTTAATGAAGTTCAAACAAGTGTTATCATAAGCTTGGCAGCATGGAGAGAAATGAAAGGTCAGCCACAGCCCTTTGTCATCTTTTCAGTGTGGTGTTGAATGCTAATGAGACAGTCCCAATTAGAACAGGCTCCCTTTTGTATTGCTTGGGGATTGCATCAAATGCTCCCAAGTTCTCCAGATTTCTAAGCTCAAAGGGGACATTTGAAGCAAACTTGAAAAGATGCAGATCTGAAACTGCTCTAATGTAAATTCAGCAAAGCCTATGGAGTTTTGCTAACAGAAATCAGATGAGAATCTGGTCTACCCTTCCCATTCTTTTCCTCTTTTTTCAATAGACTCAGATAATGATAACTGAAAAGCCTCCACCTTGTTTTAGAATGATAGTCTGACTCTTCATGGCTTTAACAAAAGCCAAATAGTCTGTCCCTGTTTCCTGGGTTAATTCTGCCACAGCCAGGCCTCATCTTCTGCCCCAGGAAATTCAAGTTGTGGCTGCATCAACACTTTTTTAGCCATGTATTTCCACAGTGAAAGAGCCCTGGGTGAGTAATTTGAATGGTTTTCTCTGAAAGGGAGGATTTCTCAGCTGGATTGTTTCAGCAGGTAGAGTCTACTTCTGTTTTCAACAGCATTAAAAAGGGCTGTTCAAAGCAAACTCCCAGTTGACTACCATCTGGAGGTAGACCATTGATCAAGCCAGAATCTGTAACTATTCCCTCCCAAGTTTACATTCACACTCTAAAGTGGTAGAAATCTCATCTTTGAAAGGTTGGAGGTATGTACTTTTACCCATGCCTGTTTCTTTGGCTTTGAGTTTGTGAATTCTAAAAGCACACTCCACACTGAGAAACCAGGAGTTGCAGAGGGAAGGCTTGGAGTAATCCAGCTCACCTACCAATTCAACAGACCTATTGAAAGACAGGAGCCTGTCTACTCCAGAGTGCATTCAAGTGGAGTTACAATCTACCACTGGCCTAATTGAGCTCTAACAGATTCTTCTTCATCATAGAAGTTCATCTGATTTCAGGTGCTTCCGATTTACTCGACTGCCTCTTACATTTCCTGACTGAAAATCTTTTAATTTTATGATTTTTTCTTTGAAGAAGTCTAGTGGTCTTGAAGGATGTTGTCTCCAGCTGATGCTGGCTATGGAAATAACTCCAGCCAGTACTGGAAGCCACTGGAGTTGGAATTATCTCCCTCAAAGTGCAGTTGCAGAATGGAGAGGAGGAATTCATTAATGCACAGCAGACTTGAAATTGTATTCTGTTCATCCTTGGTATGTTTTTCCTTTCATTACCACAGCATCCAGGTGCCACTGCCTGGAGTCAGTGGATCTAACACACAACAATGTAAGCAGGGCAGAAGCTCTAACCATATCCCCAAACCCTCAGTCTTCACTTAGGCTTCAGTTCAAGTTGTCAGACATCAGTGCAGACAACAACCCAGCACATGCTGGGCACAGAAATCCAGTGCTGTTTAGTAGCAGCAGGAGCTGTTATATACCTTGTTTGCAAACCCAGTTGTTCAGGAAAACTTCCAGGGAAATGCAGCTCCTATTGCTGAAGATCTCTAGGCAACAGGGTTTAGGTCCAAAATTTGTGAAGTAAAATCAATACTGGGAAAAACAAAAAACCAAACTAAACCAAACAAAAACAAACAAACAAACAAACAAACAAAAACCCTGGAAACTGCAGCCTTCTGTTTATCCAGAAAAAAAAAAAAAAAATGTTGCATGAGGAAACACCCTCTTCTCCACCCACATACCTCAGTTTGTCACTCAAATGTACCATCTGCAAAGATAAAAAATCAACCAGAGGTCATATATAAAACCCACAAACCCAACCACTCAAGGTTGTTAAAACGTCAGTAAAATATGACACCTTTGGGTCACTGTTGCTGCCAGTTTGGTTTCTAAATGAATCTCACACCTCTTTCCTCCTATCCAGGTCAATCCAGCCTCCATAAATACTAAGAAACTTGGACACCATACCAGAAGTAGGTCATAATTAAGCAAGGTAGCTTGTAAGAGCATTACATGTTGCCTAGAAACAACATTTGTAGAAGTGTTTAACCACATCTAAAAATAATTGTCCAGACAAAGCAGAGACCAATGGGAGAATGATTTTTAAAAATGTCACCTCATGTCAACAAGGGGACAGAGCTCTTTGATGAGCCATGCTCTCCTTTCACAAATGAGAGAAAATCAGCCCCACCAAAGGAAATACAGGGGTTTTCTTCCAGGGTGCCTGTAGCAGCAAAGGTCTCGTGTAAGCTGCTTGACATGGTGCCTATGAAGTCATCCAAACAAACTATTGTTTAAAACTAGAAGACATTGCACAGGAATGATCTGTAAGATGAACCCATCCTTGTACTTGTAGACCAGTAATAATTTTCCTTCTGTGCAGTTCCCAAACCTGTCAATAACACCAAGCAAGTGTAGCATATTGGAAAACAAAGCAAAGATTCACTTCTGCAAGGGTGGCTCCAGCAGACAGGCTGCTGCTGAGCAAGGTGTGTTATTGGTTTGTCCTACAGAAAATCTTAAGAGAAGCTGATGCCTCTAGGTACTGCAGGAATAGTTGTCTTGGTTGTATTCCTGACAGAGTATCATACAATCATGGAATGGTTTGCATTGGAAGAGACCTTGAAGATCATCTAGATCCAATCATCCTGCCATGGGCCCAGTTTGTTCCAACCACCATCCAACCTGTCATTTAACACATCCAGGGATGGGGCAGCCACAGTTTCTCTGGGCAGCCTGTTCCAGTGTTTCACCACTCTCATAGTGAAGAATTTCCTCTTAATGTCTAATCTAAATGTCCCCTCTTTCAGCTGAAAACTCATCCTATCTGTCATTGCCCTAATAAAAAGTCCCTCCACAGCTTTCCTGTAGCCCAGAGCCTTTTCTTTTCCAGGCTGGACAACCCCAACTCTCTCAGCCTGTCTTCACAGGAGAGGAGTAGGTTTCCCAGACACCAACCTTGCATTAGACTGAATAGTACATCTGCACGTCTTGCAGATGTGGATAAATGCTTGTAAAGATCTCTGACCTTTCAGAAATGCCTCCAGAGCTTCACTCACCAGCCTGTCAATCTTACAGCATCTCATTCAAAGTGCAGAAGAACCTCTAAGGAAAGCTACTGGGTTTGGGCTGAGGGGACACCATGTTACAGTCCTTGGGATCTAGGTAGTCTGGGGACTGTCACAATGATGCTGAGAACAGCAAACCACTTCTGGTCTGTATGGAAAGACTTAGAAGCCCATCTACTTCCCAAGGCTCAAACACATCCCCTCCCTTTCATCCCTCCCTCTAATGCTTCTCAACAGCTTCTCCTCAAGAGAAACAACATTGGCAAACACCTTCAGCTCACACCTCTGATTAAATGTCCATCTCTGCTGCAAGGCATGTGGCAACAAAAGGCTAACGTGGAGCTTTATACCTAGGCAACAACCAAAGAAGAAAAGCTACCAAAACCAATACTGTTGATGCCTCCTACTTCCACCCATGAAGCAGGGCTTCGTTGTGTCACTTACTTATGTCATTCCTATTTCTAGAACTAAAACTCACCTTTCTACCCAGTTCTTGTAGCTGGGGATGTCCTTGGCATAGAGAAGCTTGTTAGAGGGTGAGTCCTTGCCTAGCCGGTGCTCTGAGGTTGAACAGGAGTCCATGAAAGTCTGAGCCACCACGGAGAGGCAGGCATCTGTGATGCTGTTCTTGTGGATGTCGAAGACGAACTGAGGGTTCTTGATCATGTTAACCCAGAACCTTAACGGGAGGCTGCAAGGGGGTGGGAGGGGTGGAAGAGGTGAGTCAGTCAGTATGTGGCTCACAGGCTTTGTTGTGGGAGGTTACACTGACAAATGGTGAATGAAAATCAAAGATCATGGTGTGGAGATAAGGATTCTGGAATAAGCTTTGATGCACAATATGTTCCTCGCCTACAGGACACTAGGGATGGCAGTGGAGTCACCTCAGGAGTGGTTTTCACCTCCCCTACAGGACACTAGGGATAGTAGTGGAGTCACCTCAGGAGTAGTTTTCAATCCCAAAGTTAAGGCCATCTTATTGAAGCTGCACGTAAATTAATGGGAGTATAACTGAGATGATGAAAATGACTCCTAACATAATTGAGGTGATGAAAATGACTCCAAACTTCTCTATGTTGGGTTGCAGTGTAAAGTTGCAGCTGTTGGTTCCTTCACCAGCTGAGGATGGGAATTGCATCTGCAAAACTTGCCGTGACCATCTGTCAGGGAGGGACTTGGCTTTTACCCCTCATTGCAACATCATAGGAAGAGCTCCTAGGTTGGGACTAGCAGTGTTAGTGGCATGGACTGTGTGCTGAGGACATCATGTACTGTCACACTGTGCCCAAACCTGCATGTGATCCCACCACACTGGGCACGAAATAGTCACACCATGACAGGGAAAACTCTCTTGCCTCCAGGAAGAAAAAGAACTGAGAAACATGTGTTGCAGCCTTTGAAATGAAAATGTATCTGCCCTAACCAAGGAAGTGTTATTCCAGTTGCAATCCAAAGCTGTTTTTTCCCCCCCCTTTTTTCTCAAAAGAGCTGTTCATTTGTGTGAGATGCCCTGAGGTATCTACCTCCAGCCTTTGCCTCAAGCCTTTTGTGTCAGGGCAAATATATTCATATGATTGTGGCTTAGGATCTGAGATGTGTCACTTATCACAGAGTTAGACTCCTGTCTCTCTGTCAGGTAGACTGTTAAGTCTACCTTCACTGTCTGAACCTTCCCAAGAGGAGGTTTTTCTTCATCCTCCCCAGTTCCTAAGTTCCTTCCATTTGCTCATTGCCCCCATGTGTTCACAGTTCCATAAAAAATTCTTCTCATTCATCTCAATACATTTTGGGTAACAGCAGGCATTTTAACATGTCCTGACATTATGCTTTCCTAAACCACTGTGTGTTCTCCTGAGCCATCAAAATCACAGAGAGAATGTAAAAAAAACCTCACACAAATAATCCTATCAGCCAAGCAGCCTCCTTTGGGAACGGGGTGGAAGTTCAGAAGAAGGAGATTTTGGCAATGAGTGCTGATGGGAGTTGTGGGAGGGAAACATTTTTAGACTGGGAACAGAGGATTCATCTTTTGGAGGATGAGGTGGATGAGTAAACCACGGAGAACTTCTTGTGCAGGTGTCTGGACTGCAAACACAGCACAGCAAGAACAAGCACCGGGGGTTTGTATGTGTGCATGGGTGTGGGGAGGGCCTGGGGGGACAATGTCCCTAGCTGGGAATAATGAAGCCCAGGATATGCCTTGGAGTTAATTTAATCTGACTGAACAGATTTCTTCACACTGCCCCTTTCCCCACACCTTCTACCCTCCCCCCTTAAACAAACCTCCTGCTCATTTAGTCTGAGTGGCTGCAATCAGCCTCAGATTAGTGCTGCAGATAATGTTAATAATATGCTAATGTTTCATTAGTTGAAAACCTCTTTGGTGCATGGGGTTTCTTTTTTTATGCCACGGTGCTGTGACGATCTGCCAGCAGCATGGCTGGGAAAAGGAAAAAATGCATGAGCTGGGAGCCCCATGGCTCTCCTCTGCTGCTCCTTTTATAGTCCCTGTATTTGCACAGGAGAAGGGGAGGGAGCCATTCTCCACGGGACTCTTTCCAGCAGGGAGACTCAGCAGAGAGGAGGTGCAAAGATCTTTTCCCTCCAACGATGTTGGCTTTTATCTGTTGTCCCACTACATGTCCAAGGAGGGACTGCTGCCTGGCAACAGGGGGTTGATGTCGGACTTTGTCACTCACTCCAAAGGAGACTCACATCCAGCTCTGGATCCTTTTAGTGCTTAGTACCATTTGATATTGCTCTCCTGGCCTCCAGCTGCCAGCCCAGGAGGGTACAAGTCTCCAGTGGCTGCTGCATGTACTGTGTGCATGCCTGGGATCTCCTAAAATATCTCAGGTGGCATTTGATGCTCATGTGTGGGTAAACAAATGGAGCTCTAGCCCCCCTCTGAATTTAGTGGGAATTCAGACACCCAGTCTAGATGAAGACAGTGGTGCTGGATCATTTCACATGCCTTCCTAGGCATTCCCAGGGGCCTGGGCACTGCAGCAGTTAAATACTTCACCATTTCTCCTCCTTTATCCCTGTATGATACCTCAGAAACACGATTCCTGTGTAATACAGGGCAAACTGGGACCTGTTTAGCTGAAGCGTTCTTGAGAGCATCCTTTAGATTCTGGGGTCTTCTGACTTCCCCATAGGCTTGAGGAGAATGTGCCTGTGGCTCTGAACCCCACACCAGGCTTCTTAGCTCCCCACATGACCAGATCCTAAACACATGTCCCTCTTACTCTCCTTCCAGCTCAGGACCTGATGCTGGACTGTACTGGGGTTTGTCACTCACCAGTTGCTCTTCCAGGTGTGCCGCACATGAGGGTCATGGATGTTGTGCTTGTCAGCCTGCTCATCCAGGAAGTCAAACATGTATTTGATAGCCAGGGGAAGTGCACTGCCACGGTGAGCAGTGCTGAAGATGGTCTCAAAGAGGTCATCTACAAATTTCTGGAGGGTGCCCTATTGGAAGAAGGAACAAGAGAAGAATGTGAGATATCAAGTAAGAAGAAGATATTGTGTTTTGGTACCTCACTGAAAGTAGAGTATATCTGTGGATCAGGGCAAGAAGGTGTCACTGAAAAACCATCTAATGTCAGTTAAATATGACATGAGTTGGATATTTTAATATAGGTATGTTCAAGCAGCATGTGCATCTTCACAATATCCTCTACATCTTGTTAGCAGACAAACAGGGAAGGTCAAGATGCTTCCTGTCCTCTTTGCTACTAGTGCTCCCTGACAGGGAAGGTGGCTGAGCTGTGGTGGGATACCTTGTCCTACCTCAGGTGTGTTGTGATGGAGAGGCCCTGATATATTCCCAACAGAATTTCTCTCTTCTGCATTCTATCCTCAGCTGCTTAGTGCACGTATGAGACAAAAACTAGTCATTTTTTATGTTGGTTTTCATCCAGAGCCAATTCTTAAGCTGGGAACACAAGTCAGATGACTGTAGAGCAGAGTAGAAAGTGTCATTGAGACAAATGAGACAAGAGTGACTGCAGAGAGATGGTTGATTTGTATGTGTGAGTAGTACAGTAAATAACAAGAACTTCATCTTAATCCCCAAAAGGTCTCTTCATTTTTTACTGCCCGTTGGCATGAGACTGAGGCAAACAGAAGCAGTGAGTGCATGTGTCAAGCACTGCTCTGCAGACCTCAGGCAGAGATCTCCTTATGATCCTCTGGAGGAGAATCCCAGATCCTGTGCTTGGAGAACCACCCTGGAGAAGCTGGTGAGTACACTTGGCTGTTTAGACAAGAAGGTGAAGAGCTGAAAAAGCAGAAAGTGACATGGTCTGGAGAAGGGGACAGCTGAGGAGCTGTGATAACCAGCTGAGCTGCAAATTGGGCTTGGGAGGGAGCTAGACAAGGCACACTTCTCTCAGTGGGCAGCTCTAGCCCATGTTCAAAGCTCTGCCCTGCCAGGGGGGCTGCACTGGCATTGACATGTGAACATCCATACAGCCACTAAAATAACCAAAAAGCAATCAAATCTCCAACAAATATTTCCTGTCACACAAAATTGCCTCAGCTAAAAAATAAACCCTTCCCCTTTCTCTGCAGACCCAGGAAAGAAATTCACTTTTCTAGAAACCAAGCATCAGGGTCCACCAAAGTGGCTCAAATTTACGTACCACTAGCAAATACTTCATTAGAAAGCTGGTACCACTTGATTTATTCTTTGGGAAACAAACAGAGGTGCCTTTTTCTTGTGTGAGCTCCTACTGGGTAAATAGAACCCTGCAGCACATGTCTGAGTTGAAAAGGGGCCCTGAAGGGAAACCTTGTTGGTCTGACAAGGTTTCTGACTTGGAAGACCTGCCCTCAGGTTGAGTTTCTGAAGAGAATTAGTTCTCTACATGTTCACCCACACAAACACAAAGAAAGTCTCCAGGCTTTTAGGCAAAAGACTCTAGGTCTCAGAGGTCAGGGATTTACTGGAATAAAAATAATTGTCAGTTTAACTAAGTATTCCCTAGGACTGTATCACCAGCAATTGCTCTCCTCTCCCTTCCTCAAATGATCATGATGAGGAAAGAAAATTGCTCAGCCCAAGAGGGAAAACAATAAACCCCCAGCCTTTATCCTCTCTCTGTTGCTGTTCAAGTTTCACAGCTGCTTTTCTACGCAAAACCAAAACCAACCAAACAAAAAAAAAAAGCAAGTGTTGACTTTGTGATCCAAAATATAAAACAAAAGTGATTCAGTGCTGGGGTAGGGGTTGTATCCCCAGACAATGTAAATCAGCACTGGTCCAATGCTCCCTGGCTTACATCAGCTGGGGCCAAGGCCATGGGGAGCTTCTTTTTCTTTTTAGGTTGTGTGAGCTACAAAAGCATCTTGAGGCCAGGGAGCTGGGCATGTACCAGAGGCTAAAGGCAAAGCCACTTTATTTCCAAATCCTGCTGCAACACAGCCTGAGTGAGGATGCAGGGAGAGCCAGACATCAGAGGCAGACTGAGCTGAGGAACCAATGTGAAGGTAAAACTGTATAGTAGGACTTGAGCATGTGATGGAGCAAACTTAGACAAAGTTTGCATTAACATAATGAAGTTGTGTTTGTGCCCTTTAACACCCTGATAAGAAATTATAATAGTCAAAACTTCAGAGAAGGGAGGAAGATTGGGCTGTTTGCTCATTGCTTACTTAACCTTGCTCAGAACCATGGAGATAATCCCATGAGCAGCTACACCTGAGCCACAAGTGCCCTGTGGTTTCCACTTCTGGGATGCGTTGAGGTAACTCTCATGTTAGAGAGTTTGGGGCACATCTGGGCTGGGAGAGGATGGCTGAACTACAAAGGAGTCTTTCTCTAATGATACAGCCTTCCTCCCCACATGCCCTGATCCCTGCTGGGGTGCAAAAAATCATTTTAGCCTCTTCATTAACACAGGCTTCTCCAAGGAGATCACCATCTACCATGTGGAAGAGCAAATAAATGTAAACTCAGACAACTGCTTTTGCCCATGCTCTTGTAGAGCTTTTAGAGGTGAGTTAGGTGGAGGATAGTTTTGGTCAGAGATGAAAGGTGAAATGCCTGGGATCTTTTGTCAACCCTGGAGCAAGTTATCTGCCACAAGAGCAGGGAAGGGACAGCATGGTGGTGAGTGACATTGAATTACTTCTGTGCAGGCAGTGGCAATTAAGCCCTTTCCTGTGTCTGTCCCAGAGCAAAGCCCACTGCAGTAAGTTTTAGACCTGCCATCTTGAGTGATCTCCACTTGTGCAGGTGTACTCCTCATGGTGCTGCATCCCCAGTTATGCTGAACACTCATATACTGCTCCACTACTAAGTTTTTCAGGCTCTGGCAGGCATCTATGTAGGAGGTTGGTTTCCAGTGGTTTGGGGAGCATTGACTGAGCAGATGGGATCTTACAAACTTCTTAAAGCAGTCTTTGCCCTCTCTGCAGAGACTTGCAGTGAGTCAGCTGTGATGTGTGAGGTGTGTCTGGAGATTTAGTTCAGGGTGTCCCTGCTTGGTCCCCACCTGACTTTATCTGTATTTTCTCTTTGGAGACCTTGGTTTCCATGTCTCAGTGACAATGGGCATCTTGCTGTCCTTGGAGCTGACTATCATGGCTACATCATAGTCAGCTTAACCCCCTATTCAGTCATCAGCACAAGAGTCATTATGGACCCAGGGGAAAGGTGGAGAAGAAGGACTTGTACCAGACAACTCAGTTTTCTGACATAGGAGCCCTTTTCAGACTGTGAGGTGTGGTGTATCCTTGGAACCTGATTTGAGCACATTTATTCCCTGATTCTTCATTTGCTCTATTTTGGTACAAACTAGAAGCCAGTATAACCAACAACCTCAGCTCCTTCCCCTGTGCTAACTTTCTCTACCAATCTCATGGCCCTGAGAGATTACTCCCCAATGTCCCTTCCTGACTCTGCTTTCTAAGTTCAACCTCCTTCCTTACACACTTGAAACAAGCCTCTTGCTCTATTTTCCTTCAGCTCTTCTCTCTTTATCCTCCTTTGGCACCCTCTGAACAATCTCTCATTTCTTGTAGGCAAGACGTTCCACTGCAACCTTTAAAAAAACATTTCTCACCCTCTTCCCCACCCCTACCATGTACCTTGGTGGCAAGTAGCCTTGTCAGGTAGATCTCTGAAACCATCTTGCTGCCCCGGTCACCCTCTTTTTGGTCACCATGCTCGTGGTTCTTCACCAAGTGCCACATCTTGACTCCACTCTCAAGGTCAGGGGTGATCATGGGGGTGCGGGATCGGAGGCTGTCAGGGCTGCCCGTGTAACGGATCATGTTCTCTGCAAAGACAGATGCATGTTCCTCAGCCCTAAGAGCACTTCTGTTGGGATTAACAGGTGTTGCCAAGGAAACATGCAAATGACATGCCACCTAGTAGAAGGTTTTCATCAGACAGGCAAGATGACCTGCCTGGCTTCAGTAGCAGGTGACCCTCCATTCAGTATACGGAGAAAATACTCATAAAGGTTCCATTATGGGGTTGAGACAATCACAGCTGGTGAGTCCACCCTGAGGACATGTTAGTTTGGGTCTCCAAAGTCAGAAAGTTGTAGCACTACTGCAATGTCCCTGCTCTCACAGGTTCTGGATTTCTAGATTCGTATTAAATAATTTTCCGTCAACCAATTTATAACATCAGGCAACACAGGTACATTTTCTGGTGGAATTACAATGTGAGATGGAAATGATCCCAAATAGCTGTATGGACCAGGCCTTATTATCAAAGCATTATGACCGATCTGGTCAGCAAAGACTTGGGTTGCCAGTCAAGCCAGATGTGATGTCAGTGTCTACACCATTAAATTCAATGAGGCTCAAGCACTGCCTTTTCATTGCCCATGGGTTTTACCTCTTATCACATTCTCTGGCAAAAATTTGGCCTGGGGAAACCAGCTCTGTCAGTGTCAGACTCTGCCCAGGACTGGTTCAGTGGATAGAACCAGATATTCATGGTAACCAGTATGAATTAGCAGAGTTTGTATTACCTGTAAGGATGTTGGCCATAGCACACCATACTGCTTGGCATTCTGGCCAGAGAACAGACCCTGTCTGGTTTTCCATCCCTCCTTTGTCATCATAGCAACCCAATAACTCCTGCCCAGCCATCCTCTTCACTCCCTGCTCCAAGATCTTAGGTTGACATGTGGGAGCCAAGTGTCTGTCACAGAAAGTCAACAAGAACCCCAGGTGGGCCCACAAAAATTTTCTCTCTAGGGATTCCTTGAGCCTCTAAATTGTAACTCCTTTTGCCTCTTAGTAGGTCAAGAGAGGTTCTCCTCCCCCTTTGTTCTGCCTTGGTGAGGCCACATCTGGAATATTATGTCCAGTTCTGGGCCCCTCACTTCAAGAAGGACAGGGAACTGCTTGAGAGAGCCCAGGGCAGAGCCATAGAGATGCTGGAGGGAGTGGAATATCTCCCTGCTGAGGAAAGGCTGAGGGAGCTGGGTCTGTTGGGCTTGGAGAAGAGGAGACTGAGGGGCCACCTCATCCATGGTCACAAACATGTTCAGGGCAGTGTCAGGAGGACAGAGCCAGGCTTTGTGCAGTGATGTCCAGTGACAGGACAAGGGGCAATGGGTGCAAACTGGAGCACAGGAGGTTCCATGTGAATATCAGGAAGAACTTCTTTCCTGTGAGAGTGACAGAGCCCTGGGACAGGCTGCCCAGAGAGGCTGTGGAGTCTCCTTCTCTGGAGACATTCAAACCCCCCTGGACATGTTCCTGTGTGATGTGCTCTAGGTGACCCTGCCCTGGTAGGGGGGTTGGACTGGATGATCTTTCGAGGTCCCTTCCAACCCCTAGGGTTCTTTGATTCTAAGTGTTAGCATGAGCCATTCCCCCCTGCCTGACCTTCCAGGACTGCTGCAGAGTGTTTTCCGACCAGAATTAATGGAAGAACGTTGCACCTTTCTGTAGCAAGATCTGAATCAGCTTCATTAATGCATTACCAAGCTCTACATGGTAATTATCAGCTGGAATATCCTTTTTCTCTCTGGCTGCTGTTTTCTTAATTGCAATTAACAATCACTCCTGACCCACCACATCCTCTCCTCCCCCTGCACTCTTCCCCACTCCCTCCTTCCACAAAATCAAATGGCAAAAGAATTAAAGAAATCCAACAGAAATTACCCCCCCTCAAATCTTCCATTTCAAAGGTCACTGTGTCTTTCAGTAATTGCAGCAACATGGCAAAGAGGATGAATATTAATAAGGGCTGGTGGATTGCTTCTGCCCTTGGAGAAAGAGGAAATGACTCCTCTGGATTTTCCCTCAAGCTAAAGGGAGTAAGAAAGATTGGAGATGTTTTCATAAACTAAAAAATAATAATAAACTGATATGACAGCTGCACCCAGGTTGGAGGGTGGGTTTTGCATCATCCTGGTTTCCCATATGAGATATTTTGCTTTGTTGTCTGGCATTACCATAGTGAGACATGTTCTGGGCTGCACTTCTAGCACAGGGGAGAAGGTGTCTGACAGTGTCAGTGAGACTCAGGAGGTCTCTGCTTGGCTCTACAGAAGAGTTTCCACCTGTTCTCTATTTCACAGCTGTCTCATTCTCAGTCGTCTCCTGGGTGAACTGGGAATAACAGTCCAGTGCCTTAAGATATGCTGATCCAAGTCTTCAGTAAGCCCTTTTTGTTATTATTCCAGCTGTAAATTCCCTTGGGTTAATAAGATAGCAGGATGGGACACACAATAATGACACTGAGATATTTAGCATGCCAAAAGAAAGGCAACAAAGCTGGGAAAGTGTCTGTAGCACAGGTCTTAGAAGGACCAGGTGAGGGAACTGGGGGTGTTGAGCCTGGAGAACAGGAGGATGAGGGGAGACCTTCTTGCTCTCTGAAACTGTCAGAAAGGAGGTTAGAGAGAGGGGAACTTGGTGTCTTCTCCAAAATAACAAGTGATAGAACAAGAGGAAATGGTCTCAAGTTGTGCCAGGGGAGGTTTAGATTGGATATTAAGAACAATTTATTCATTGAAAGAGTTGTTAGGCTCTGGCACAGGCTGTCCAGGGCAGTGGTGGAGTCACTGTCCCTGGAGGGATTTAAAAGCTGTGTAGGTGTGGTACTGAGGGACATGGTTCAGTGGTGGTCTTGGCAGGGCTGGTTTAATGATCAGACATGGTGATCTTAAAGATCTTTTCCAACCAAAATGATTCTATGATTCTGTCACTGTAGGCAAGCTATGCCCTATGCAGATTGTGGTTGTTCATCTGTGCCACATGTTAATCTTCACAACAGACCATACTCCAAGGACTCTGCCTTCCAGAACAACTGGTGTGCAGGGCTACTCCCTTGCCTCTCCTTGTGCAAAATCCAGGAGTGAGATTCAGTGATCTAAAATGGAAGCAGCTTTCTATATTGTATAGGCACCTCCTTTCACTACCAAGGGAGCAAAAGTACTTCCCAAGAGCCATCCAACCACTGGTATCAACAGCTTGGACCAGACGCCAAATTTAGGTGGCTAAATCTTCTCCTCCTGCCACCCCTTAAGCAATCTGATTAACTAGACATCTGCCTATCATTCTCTCTGCTGGTGCTCAGCATCTTCCAACCACCATGATGTTTGGGATCTCTTCCCCAGTGCTCTCTCAATTCATATCAGACCAAAAATCCTTACCATACTTGCTGGCTGATGTCCTGGAGACCGTGGAGTTGTTGACTGCATTGTAGGCAGTGACTTGCTTGGAGACTAAAGCTACCACAGATCCATCTGGCACCTGTAGAGAAAAAGAGATTTGGTTAATTAACTTCTGAAAACTGGCTGAGGAACATGCCAAGGATAGCAGAAACTGAGCCATAAACCAGTGTCACTGTAGACAGGTCAGTGGTTTTGGCCCAAAGTGCTTTTGTGAACAAAAAAGGGACAAAATGTCCTGTTACACCACCAGGAGCCTGCCCTTGGGCAGTAGGACAACTGATGATGAAGCAGACTCTGCTCCATTCAGGTTCTGATTCAAAGCTCAGTGATGACAATGGGTGTCTTTGCATTAACCTCAGTAAACCTGACACTAAGTTCTTCCCAAGAAAACTCCTATGCAGGATAGAGGCACGACAAAACTAAATTAATCTGGTTCCCATAAGAATGATAAAACTGATGTGAAATTTTCTATTCCTTCCACCTCAATTACAAGTGATACCTGGGTACCTAGTTCAGAAATGGATATCTACATTTTCTACTTTAACTGGTCCTGTCAGCCTCTCCATGCACAGTCTGCTCCTTCCAAGTGACAAATGCACTGCTGGACTGAAGTGACTAACACACCGTATTTCTCTTTGCTGTGTCAGAAGATCTCAGACAGGGACAGCAGCAGGTTTGGAGTGGCAGTGCTCCAAGGTGTCATGGGGTAGTGTTTCAATGGACAACAGAGCTTTCTGAAACGAGCCAGAATTTCTGTCTCTACAGTCTGGCAAGTCATGTGTGTGCCATATCAGAAATGTTAACAAGCCAGTGGCTCAAAGGAGCTGTATCTGGAATGTCTGTGATAAATAAGACATCATAAAAAGGACGTGTTAAAAAAAAAAATACAACCCAGCTGACAACATCTAACTCTTGTCTGTGTAATAATAATAATTAGCACTTGCATAGAGTTTTTCAACTTCAAAGCACTGCAGAGGCTAATTAAATAACCCCTCAGCAATTATAGGAGGCAATCATTTGCTCTTTGTAGTTTTAGCCCCACACTACAGATGGGGAAACTGAGGCAACAGGAATATCAGTGTCTGCCCCAGTATGTTCCATGACTGCCTTCAGGATAGCCAGGGTAAACAATGTGGAGATCAACAACCTGGCAGCTGAGGACCTGTTGTGCCCCAGCTCATCTATATAACTGGAAACTCATTGTCTGAAGCAAACAACTGAAAAAACAACACAGAAGGGACAGACAATTACAGCTGGTTTGTTGGTGAACGAAAATGGAAAACATCCTCATTCCCCCTGAAAAAAAATGAAGTGTTCTGGAGTCAGACAGAAATGCTTCAGTCAATTTGAAGTGAAAAGTTTTGTTTCCTTTTCAAATGATTGCTTGCTGCCTCCTCAGGTCAGCTCTTAAATGAAAAGAAAATCCTGTTATGAAACAGAGTTTACAGAGGTGTGATTGAGGAAATGACAAAATTGTCAGTATCAGATTATATTTACCAAGGCAGGTTTTTTTGGGAGGGAAGGAGTGGGGAGACCTTTTGACCAAAACTCCATTTTTCACTAAATCTACCACCTGTGTAAGATATTTTTTTGACCTTTAGCCCTCTCTGATGTATTCCAAGGTCATGCAGAGATGAAGAGAAGCCCTGGCCCAAGGCAGATAACTTAGACCAGGGCACGGATTGAAAACAAGTGTTCCTAGATCAATGATAACTTCACTGCTCCGTGGTCTCCAGCCATGCTGCTTTCCTCCTCCTTTTTCCAGACCTTCCACGCCTCCTTCCCTCCCATTTTCCTCTCTTGTGTCCTTCTGATCTCTGCTAGCATTACAAGGCCTTCTATGCATTGCAAAAAGAGGGATGGAAGGTCTTGTTTTCTGTTTGTCTACGTGAGAAATATTAACACGTTGTCCTCATGACCACATCTCCACATCCTTCACTCACTAGGGATGCCCCTCCTTTGAGAGAAACAGGATTTTTTCTTCCCTTGGGTTCATCCCTAATGTTGTGCAGGGAAATGACCACAAGGGCAGTGGAACAGGATAGACATACTCAACTCAGAGCCTCTGGTCAGCTGTCGCCTGCTCAACCATCGCTCACCTTCGCATCTTAGAGGTAACACTTTGTCCTTCTCCTATTTTCTTAGCTGATCTACCTTCCATGCATCCTCCTTCCCAGTTACCTGATAATGTGCCAGTGTGTTGAGTCTCTTCCAGTCATTCTCTATCTTGGTTGTGATGTCTTCATCCTGAAGGATCATCCTTGCCCCGCTTGCTTGCCTCCACTCTGCAAGAAGAGCAGGGACATTGAACTCTGCTGCAGAAAAGGCTCTGAGATGAGGGACAGAGCCCTGGAAATCCCCACACCAACAACCCACGTAGCCACACATGTGCAGGCTGCATCCATATAGCAACATGTCAGTCATTGACTTTAACTCAGATGCCTCCAAGCACATAAAACATGCAAAGCCTTTAGTGGTCGGACAAAGGGTGACAGTTTAAAACTGAACGAGGGTAGATTCAGACTAAATATTAAGGGTGGTGAGACACTGGCACAGGTTGCCTGAGAGGTGGTAGATGCCCTATAACTGGCAACATTTAAGCTCAGGCTAGATGAGGCTCTGAACAACCTAAGCTAGTTGAAGATCTCAAAGTAGTTGAAGATATCCCTACTCACTGCATGGGGTTGGATTAGATGACCTTTAAAGGTGCCTTCCAACACAAGCTGTTCCATGAACACGTAATCATGGCCCAAAGGAGAGAAATATATTATCATCTGTTGACATCAGGGAAAGCTGTGGCTTAACTACAGAAAATCTGGACCATCCAAAACCATTTTTTGCTTGCCATGCCTCAGTGACAGTGACCCAGCCACATACAGTTTAGCCAGAGCTAAAGCAGAAAGTCTATTTATTTGCAGGAGTTGATTAAAATGAACTCTTGGATATGGAGACATCACCTGCCACTCCTGCTTATTTCTCCTAATATAAAAATGCAAGGACCGTTGCAAATTTCTTTTGGTTTCAGCAGTTTCCTTATCACATAATTAAAATGCATTGGGAAAGCCACCCTTGCCTTTATTATTCATTTGAATTAGCAGGAAGAGGTCAGCAGCTGTGTTTATTGCTGGCTGTTACATTGGCTGGAGATACTCAGAGAGTAAGCAAAGGTTATGTTGGCCAAGCACTGATCCTGAACTGCCCCTCATTTACTCCAACTCCTTAGATCCTCACCTACATTAACCTTGTGATGTCTGAGGGTGATGCTCTTTATTCGTTCCCAACTGGACTGGGTTCTTGGAAGCTAACTGGTCTCTGGCATCTCAGGGATGAGCACAAAATTCTGGAGTTTGGGCTGGGAAATGGTGCTCTTATGAAGTGCCCCACAGAGTGCCAAAGCCACTTGTGTTGTCACAGAGTGTGTCCCTTATGATCTCTTGGGGATCCCTTCCTCCTGATCTCTTGAGGACACTGTCTTTGACATCCCTCCTTTGGGGCTCTGCATATTACTATGGTCCTCCTCTCTTCTGACTCCTCTTTGGGGATGGACACACTGACACAGTGTTCTGGGAGGATGCCCAGGCTCTCAGTGTTGCACGTGGCTCCAACATGAAAGACAGACACAGCTTTCCTCATTCTGTGCTTTATTTATATTCAAGAACAGGGTCCTCAGAGCAGCAGAAGCTGTCCCTCTGCTCCATTGACACTGGGGACATCATGGGATGTCCCCTCAAGCCCCTGGTGCTCCTGCAGGGACACAGGGGGGTATCAAGCCCTTCATCATGGCCTTCCTGCAGAAAGGGGTCATGTGAGAAAGAGGATGGACAAGTCACATTCTACACAAGACCCAATCCCAAGCCAGACAAGGGGGAAAATACCTCATAGATCAGGTTCAGAGCAGCAAGTAGTTCTGGCTTCAGTCTTACAGCCTGTTTTCTTTGACCAAATACAAATCACTGCACCATGGATCTGAGCAATGACAGGTGAAGGGTCCCCACCTGTGGTCTCCCAACTTTTCCTAGTCTCACAGGAACACACAGCACGTTTCCCTTCCCCACGAGTGCCAGCTGAGCTGGTCACACACTGCTCTGTGAGGAAATGTGCTGACTGCAGGGGAGGGAATGGGGAGGGAGGGTGCAGAGGAGGAAAAGGTGACCCTGACATCCGTATTCACACCACTAAGAGAACAGTGTTGGCTTTGTCCTCTGGCAGCACCCTGTCCCCTCGCTCATCAGATCTGCGAGCAGGCACAAAGGAGAGACACACTCCAATCCAATTTGTTCCACTTCCACCTTCCGGAGAGAGGGAGGGAGAGGGCAAGGGAGGTAAAAAATCCCATTATCTTTATCAAGCCTTCCAATCAGGAGGAGCAGTAAATGCAAACTCAGGAGACAGCTGCTGTGAAGCCTTTATATTTCATTCAGTAGATAGTGTATCTTTTCATTGCATGCAGGAATTGCTGCTTTTTTTCTTCTTCTTCTTTTTTTTTTTTTTTTTTAAGAAACAACCTTTCTGTTCAACTTGACTGGAAATAAAGGAACTTCCAGGGGCCTTTGACAGAGGGATGTTTCTTTGTGCTGCAGCAGTATCTGGCTGGGGAATGACTCTATGGGGAGATGTCCTCCTGCTCCTCATACCCTATAGTAAATGTGATCCCTCCCTCATGCCTTCTCTCTGATCTGGTTCACCTTAAAGTTGTCCATTGAATGAGGGAGAAAAGTGCAGCAGTGAGAATCATTTTCAGGGGCAATTGAAATACCCAGGTGGATGGAAGACCTGCCAGCTGACTCCAAGTGCTAGTCATCATCAGTTATACCAGCCTTTATAGGTACTTGGTCATTATGATCAGAATCTGTTTCAGTCAACTGTTCATGCTGTACACTGTGCTTCCCACCCTTTTTCTTACAGACACAAAGTCTTCCAGGAAGGGCTATGAAACTCCTTGTGGCTGACAGTGCACAGCAATGGCACGTGGAACAAATGAATCATAGAATGCCAGGTTGGAAGGGACCTCAAGAATCATCTGAGTGATTACAATAGTGATTGTCCTCATGGTGAAAAATTTACCTCTTGTGTTCAATAGGAATCTCCCCAAGAGCATCTCGTCCATCAACCCTTGTCTTTTCCATGTGACTCATTGTAAATAGAGAGTCTCCATCTTCTTGGTAGCCACCCTTTAAATACCAGAACATTCTAATAAGATCTCCCCAAAGCCTTCTCTTCTCAAGGTTGAATAAACCCATTTCTCTCAGCCTTTCCTCATATGGCAGGACCTCCAGCTCTCTGAGCATCCTCATGGCCCTTCTCTGGACCTTCTCCAGCCTATTCCATCCTTTTTGTAGAGCAGGGACCAAAATGAACACCATACTCCAGGTGTGGTCATACGTGCGCCAAGTAGAGTGGGGTAATGACTTCTTGATCTCTGCTGGTGATGCTCTTGTTGATGCAGCCCAGCATTCTGTTGGTTTCTTTGCCACTGCAGCACACTGTGCACTCATGCTGAGCCTGTTATCCATGAAGAACCCCAGGTCCCTTCCCACAGGGCTGCTCTCCAACAACGTGGATCTCAGTCTGAACTGTGCTCTTGGGTTACATGTTCCCAGGTGCAAGACCTTACACTTCTTCCTGTTGGACTTCATAAGGTTCCTGGTAGCCCAATCCTCCAGTCTGTCCAGGTCACCCTGGAGGGTGGCTCTTCCTTCTGGAGTGTCAGCCTCTCCGCTCATCTTGGTGTCATCAGCAAACTTCATCAGGCTGCTCTTGATTCCAACATCCAGGTCACTTATGAAGATATCAAACAGCATTGGGCCCAATATCAATCCCTGGGGGACCCCACTTGTGACCAGTTGCCAGTTTAAGGAGAAACTACTTGCTATCACCCTCTGGGTACAGTCTGTCAGTCAGTTCCCCACCCACCACACAGACCACTTGTCAGTTTCTCCAGGAGGAGGCTGTCGAGCACTATATAAAAAGCCTTGGAGAAGTCCAGGTAGATGATGTCCACTGCTCATCCTGCATCAGCTGAATGGGTTGCTTTGTTGCAGAAGGCCATCAGGTTTGTCAAGCACAAATTGCCCCTGGTAAATCCATGCTGGCTTTTCCCAATCACATGCTTCAATTGGCTGGGGACTGTCCCCAGGAGGATTTGCTGAATGACTTTCCCAGGGACTGAAGTGAGGCTAATGGGTCTATAATCACCTGGGTCCTCCTTTGAACCCTTCTTATAGATGAGGGTGACCAGTCCTCAGGGATGTCTCCCAGTCTCCAGAACTTCTCAGAGATTATGGAGAGCAGCTTTGTAATGACATCAACCAGCTCTCTCAGCACTCTTGGGTGGATGGCATCAATTTGCATAGATCAAGCTGCTGTACTAGTTGACACACCAATGCTTCCTTCACTGATGGTGGGTCAGGGTCTGCATCGACCTTGACTTGTGTTCCTATGGCCTGGGACGCAACAGCGTGGTGAACATAGACGTGAAGAAAGTGTTGAGGACCTCTGCCTTTTCAGCATTGCTGGTGACTACTTCACCTCTCCTATTAACCAGTGGGCTAATTTTATTCCTGTGTTTCTGCTTGTTGTTAATGTATCTGAAAAACCCTTTCTCAAAGTTCTTCACATCTTCGGCCAGTGTCACCTTAAGCTGAGCTTCTACTTTCCAAACTGCATCTCTACATACCCTGGCAATGCCCTTGTAATTTCCAACCAGTAAAGTTCCACTTTTCCACCTCTTGTACATTTCCCTTTTGGTTCTAATGGGTGTAAATTGGAGCATAGGAGGTTCTACTTCACCTCTCCTATTAACCAGTGGGCTAATTTTATTCCTGTGTTTCTGCTTGTTGTTAATGTATCTGAAAAACCCTTTCTCAAAGTTCTTCACATCTTCGGCCAGTGTCACCTTAAGCTGAGCTTCTGCTTTCCAAACTGCATCTCTACATACCCTGGCAATGCCCTTGTAATTTCCAACCAGTAAAGTTCCACTTTTCTACCTCTGGTACATTTCCCTTTTGGTTCTGAGCAGAACCAGAAGCTCACAGTTAAGTCAAGGGGGTCTCCTGCTCCACATACTTCCTTTGCCTTTAGAGGGAATGAACTGGTTTTGCCAGCACTCACTAGCTCCTTTACCCTCCATGGAAGCTTCCCACATGATCCTTTCCAATTGAGCTCTTTGTGAGCTGAAGCTTGCTCTTCTAAAATCTAAAATCTTTGTTCTGGAATTAATTTTCATCATGCTCAGCAGTGTCCCGAACTCCACATTATTGTGGTCACTGCAGCCAAGTCTGTCACTAACCAAGATATTACACAGCAGGTTTTCTTGGCCAGTGAGTAGTAAGTTCAGCTGTGCCCCATTCCTGGTTGGCACATCCAGCATCAGTGTGAGGAAGCAGTCGTGTACACATTCCAGGAACCTGATGGATGTTTGGTGAGCTGCACTGTTGTTCCTCCAGCAAGTGTCTGGGTGGTTAAAGTCTTCCATATAAAGACCAGGTTTTGTTGACCCAAAGCTTGCCTGGGCAGCCCCAGTATCTTTTCTTTGGTCACATCATCTTGATTTGAGGGTTAGCAACAGATGGCTACTGTAAAGTTTCCCTTGGAGATGACCCTTCTGATTTTGACCCAGAGGCATTCAACAGGGCTGCCACAATTCTAGTTGATTTTTGTACATTCAAGGTTTTCCTTGACATAGAGTGCAACTTGTCCACCTCTTCTCCCCTGCCTGCCTTTATCAAACAGCCTGTAGCCATCTACCCCAGTCCTCCAGTCTTGTGAAATGTCCCACCATGTTTCAGTCATTCCTATAGTATCAGAACTATCTGACTTTGCTTCTGGAGTGGAGAAAGGAGTACCATGGTTAGGGGAAGAAAGTTCATATCAGAGCACGTAGGTGGAAGACACTTGAGAAATATTTTGCCTTGTATATGCAAATGGCCTGCCTTACTGTATAGATCCTAGAATTAGACTCAGTTTAAATAGCTCCTAAAGGTTGACCTCCTCATCCCAGTGCTGTACCACCAATGAAGCAGTGAAAGCTGGCCCTGATGTGGTCCACAAAGTGCCTGACACAGCACCACTGGGTGCAAGGCACCCAACCTAGCAGCTCCCATCACCTCAGCAGTCCATTTTAAAAAGCAGCTGAAGCACAGGGAAGAGTGAATACCTCAGCATGAAACCAGATTCCTATTTTGTGATCCTCACACCCTAATGCTTTCCCCAAAAATGGGGCATTTTATTTATGGGGAGTGCTTTAAAAAACACCAATAACAGAAATAGCCACTGTAGAAAGAAGCCTTTACTCAAAGGGCTGCAATTTGGGTTTTGGACTAAAATGTAACCTCAGGGTGTCCAAAGTAAGTGCTTTCAGCTGACAACCCCCTCCATGAGTTGTCTGGGCAACTGCAAAACATTATGACATTTGTGACACATACAAGTCACTCTGCTTGCAGCCACCCTGCATTTAACAACTCTAAATAACTCATTAGCTTGTTCGCTTTCTTCCATGTGGGCAATCTGGCCCTAGTATGGACAGAAAGCCCAGAAAATTGCAATGGTAATAGAAAATGGTGTAGCTGTTTAGCAAACCATCGATTTCAAGGCCAGATTACAGTCATCTGCTCTGACCTACTGTTCAGCATGGAGTGATGGGACTGATCCCGTGGCCTTTGCAGATCTGAGCATTCAGCCTGGGGAGGGTGGATCCTTAGAGCTCTGCACTGCTTCCTAATGGCCAGAAGTGCTTTCTGCTCTTCCCTTACTGCCTTCACTGTCATGGAAGGATGCCAGGTACCAACAAACATCTTTTCCTGCAGAGAGTTTGAGCTGGAGCTGTGGCTGGAAATGCACATCCTCTTGTTCCTGCTTCACCCATGCCAACCCTGTTCCTCCCATCTTGTTAGCTGCTGTGCTAAAGGAGTCTGCAACTATATTGCTGCTGGCAAGATTCTTCGATTAGATTAGAGGGGGGTTGTTTGGGTTTTTTAGTGTAGTTTTGTTTATTTGTTTGTTTTTCCCCCCAACTGCATCATCAATGCTACAGGCCAAACAGCACCTCGCTAAGCAGCCTCCTGTCCGTATGGATAACTGTGACCTCTGGGGGATGCCCACACTCATAAATACTTCTTGGAACTTACTGCTTCTCAGGACCACTCAGCAGGTTAATATTGTTTGAAACAGCCACAGTCCTGGATGCAAAACTGTCAGGCTGCAGCTGGGACCCCTTGTACACACACTTCTGTATCTGTCAGTTGTCAAAGCTACAATAAAATCTGCCAAGATTTATCCTTCGTAATTGCAACACTCAGGTAACATTCCTGCCTCCCAGGACTAGTACATCATTCATCCCCACAGCACAACAAACCACTTTCCTCTCATATCCAGTCTGAGATCTGAACACAACTGGCTCTATGGCCACCATCCATCATCAGAGACATCGAGAGATCTGCCTGGAAACCCCACTCCTCTGGTCTACAGTGCCCTGGCACTATCTGCCCTCATGCTCACCCTCACACTCATCACTCCTCTGCTGACTCCCAGCAGCTCCAAAATAATCTTGGGACCTTTCTGGATGGTGCATATGTTCTGTTCTTTATTGCTGCTGGTCTTAGCAGCATGTCTTGTTATTCTAACTAATCCTCTCCTGCCTTACATATATACATACACACATAGATTCTTTTAACATCTAACCTCTCATTCTTGCCTCCATTATTGCTGTGATTTCTTTCTCGGTTTAAGTCCGTTCCTTCTGCTTTTGGTTCCTTTTCTGGGTTTTATAGATTCCATAATTTTTTGCTTAAGAGGTTTTCCCTGAAGGTCACTGAGGGCAAATTCTGGCAGATAAAGCCACAATACAGTCCCCAGCTCCCTGTGAGGTGCCTCAGCAATGCCCCAAGCATATTTTTCTACACTCTTCCTCAGTAGCCTCCAGGTATAATATCTGCCTCTTGACCCCAGCTTCAGACATATCACTCCTCCTCCCAGCATTTTTCCTCCAGATTTTGGGCAGAAATATATATTTTAGTCTCAGAGGCACCCCTGCCCTGGGCTGTACAGCTCCCTGTGTTCCCCACAGATCAAAAGCACAACTTCCTAGAAATACAAGTGAAGCTGGTAAAGGATTGCTCTCCAAGCACAGCAAAGCACAAAGGAGCAAACCACTGAGAGGAAAAAAAAAAACAGGCCACAAATATTAACACATTAACAGAGGGATTAATGGTTTCTTATGACTTCTTAGCCCTCTGCAAAAAGGAAACCTCAGAGCAGCAGCTCCCAACCCTGCTGGTGGTGGTGGGGTGCTGGCAGGGGTTAGATGGATGCAGCCCACTGAACAGAGGATGCTTCATCCCCTTTCCAGTGCCCACACAGTGAGTCATTAACACTGCTTGGTCTGTGACTATCAAAGATATATGTAATCCAAAGCCTCAGTATTCAGAGAAGAGTTAGAAATAAATCTCTGCAGCCTGAACACTGCTGACAACACCACCCTTGACATTTGGTGCTCTTTTTCCCAGGAGTCTTTGGTAGGACAGTGAGAACAGTCCCAGTCATGCCTTTTCCATTCCCTTGTTCAAGGTGAATTCTGTGGGCAGAAAAGCAGGATGGCTACTGGTCTTTTTCATTCCTGCAGGCCAAAGATTTCAGAAGCCAGGAGGGTATGGATATGCATCAATTTCATCCCTCTTTTCTGATCTTTGCTGCTGCTCTGCCTTGCACAAGCACCAAGGGTACACCCAGTGTGGAGACCAGGAACCTGCCCCAACAAACAGTGTTTAGGTTGCATCTGGGTCTCTCCCACCTCCCCTCTCCCCCCTGCTACGGGGCAATCAAGTCCCCTTGTGCACTCACATACCCAAGTCCATATCAGCAGCTTTGGGCCGGTGTGAGCAGGGCACATTCTTGAAGATGGCATCGAGGATTTTCTCCTTGACCTGGGTGATGGTGTCACAGTTCAGGATCTTCACCGGGATCTCAGGGCTGTTCACGTTGTCGGGGTTCACGCAGCTCAGGACCTGAGAGAGATGCAGTGAGACCCTCTGTGCATTTCACTACAGCACAGGAACCCTGTGGCCAGCTTTACACAGCCACCTCCTTGCAGACCCCTCTGTCCTACAAGCCAAGGGTTCTAGGGTGCAATAAGGGGAAAAAAATGTGTGCCAAGAGTATTCCCTCCTTGTACAGAGGACTGGTTTCACACAGGGGGTTGCATCCATCCCCTCACCACTGTCTGTGCCCAGTAAATGAAAGGTAAGTCAGGATTTGGCTCTCAGTTGAGTCCTGTGGGGCTCCCAGTTGTTGCAGCCAGTTAATTGGGGCTGATGTGAAGGTTTTCCTAAACTTGTATCTCATGCCATTTGTCTCTGCAAGATGAAACTACTATATCTGTTGGAACAGCCCCTTGGATTTGAGTCTCATCTCCTTGACATCTTCATTTTAATTAAGAACATAAAGCCCTGATGAACCCAGGTTCTGGTGCTTTCAGTAAAAATGGCATTTACCAAATGATACCAAACGATGGTCATTGACACACTCCTTTCATAGAAACTATTAAAAATGCAATCAGGCCTGACCCTAGTTGGAGCTGAACTGATATCCAAAAGGTTCTCAAGAGCTTTTCTCAACCTCTGACCCATTCCATGTTCACTAGAGAACTGGCAATGTGACCTAACTCCGTGGTAGTCTCTTTGTGTTGCCAGTTGACTTTGACAACTCAGGTAAAAGTTCTTTTCAACCTTCAAAGTTTGTCCATCTTCTGCACAGCCACAGGACAGAACAGGAGCCTTTTCAGAATATGTGCATTAATTGGAAATGCAGGGGAAGGGAGGGAGGCAGGCAGGCAGGGAAAGGAAGGAAGGAAGGAAGGAAGGAAGGAAGGAAGGAAGGAAGGAAGGAAGGAAGGAAGGAAGAAAGAAAGAAAGAAAGAAAGAAAGAAAGAAAGAAAGAAAGAAAGAAAGAAAGAAAGAAAGAAAGAAAGAAAGAAAGAAAGAAAGAAAGAAAGAAAGAAAGAAAGAAAGAAAGAAAAAGAAAGAAAGAAAGAAAGAAAGAAAAAGAAAGAAAGAAAGAAAGAAAGAAAAAGAAAGAAAGAAAGAAAGAAAGAAAAAGAAAGAAAGAAAGAAAGAAAGAAAGAAAGAAAGAAAGAAAGAAAGAAAGAAAGAAAGAAAGAAAGAAAGAAAGAAAGAAAGAAAGAAAGAAAGAAAGAAAGAAAGAAAGAAAGAAAGAAAGAAAGAAAGAAAGAAAGAAAGAAAGAAAGAAAGAAAGAAAGAAAGAAAGAAAGAAAGAAAGAAAGAAAGAAAGAAAGAAAGAAAGAAAGAAAGAAAGAAAGAAAGAAAGAAAGAAAGAAAGAAAGAAAGAAAGAAAGAAAGAAAGAAAGAAAGAAAGAAAGAAAGAAAGAAAGAAAGAAAGAAAGAAAGAAAGAAAGAAAGAAAGAAAGAAAGAAAGAAAAAGAAAGAAAGAAAGAAAGAAAAGAGTATAGCAGGAAAAACTTTTGCTTCCACATATGCAACAAGAACATTGACCCAAATAGAGAGGCCTCTCCATTTCTCAGAAGGACAATATCTTTTTCTCCAAAGACTCTGTCCAAGAGTAAATGCAAAGCATGTGGGGTGGTGATCACATACACAGTGTTTAGCAGCAATCTGTCCACTAATTCTTGGCCAGGTCTGTGTGGAACATTCCTCTCACTTCTGATTACAGGAGTGTGAAGTCTATAACATTTTATAAACTTAGCACACCTTTGCACTTGGCAGGAGTGTTCAGTAATGCTCCTGGCTATATGTGATCATTAAATGTTCTTGTGCCACTTTTACAAGAGCAGACATGTTACTTTTGGTGCCTTAAGACAAATTCCACCTTGACTGTAAATTCCTTGCTATAGCATGCAATAGGTACTGGACTCTTCATCACTTTTCATCTGAATTTACTAAGATGCAGTGGCTTGAAACTGGGTGAAACCATATCAGTATAATTATATATTGGCTCACCAGGGTCCCTTTGGTGTTGTTATGCTCAACTAAGAGGGGCTTGTGAAGATATTGCTTACAAAGAGCTCTGTGATCTTTCTGGATGAAAGGGGAGATGTAAATACAAGATATTGATTAGATCATAATGCTATTATTTATATGTTACTTCCAGGAGTATTGAAGAAACATCAATTCAGATAATAATAACAACGGCACAGATTTACTGTTCTGTGGCATCTTTCATCTCAAAGGATCACAGTGAACTACACATAAAAAACACTATTAAAATGTATCCAGTGTTGAGCCTATTAGTTGTCCCCCTCCCATGGCACATCTGTAG